CCGCTCAGCCTCCATGAATTGGCCAAACTAAGTCAAAAGTCAATCCTGATTCCAGGAGTGCAGGAACAAGTTAGGGCTTGCACAGCGGAGAGCAACGGTAATCCCTGCTACAGAGGTGGAAACCAAAGTGCAGAAATGAACTCTACTTTTTGATGAGAGTCCACTAGCTGCCAAGGAACCTAATAAAAGGCTGCAATAAAAGCACTTAGTAAAAGAATTCAGCCTGGCACCAGTTGCTGATGCCTGTAATCATAGCTATTCAGAAGGCTGAGATCTGAGGATTGTGCTTCAAAACCAGCCAGGGAAGAAAAGTCCATCGGACTCTTTTTTTTGGGGGGGGTCCGGTTGTGGGGCCTGAATTATGGGCCTGGGCGCTGTCCCTCAGCTCTTCAGCTCAAGGCTAGCACTGTACCACTTGAGCCACAGCACTACTTCTGGCTTTTTTCTTTTTGCTTATGTGGTGCTAAGGAATCGAACCCAGGGCCTCATGCATGCAAGGCAAGTGCTCTACCACTGAGCCACCTTCCCTGCCCTCCATCAGACTCTTATCTCCAATAAACCACTAGAAAACTGGAAGTGTCTCTGTGGCTCAAGTGGAATGCTTGCCTTGAGCTGGGACAATGCCCAGGCCCAGAGTTCAAGTCCCAAGACTGATCAAACAACAACAACAACAAAAAACATATTCATTAGTACAAAAAAATTTAAAGAAAATAAATATGTGCTAGTCTCAACTGGCTAGCATAATGTAGGTGTAGCACATGGGAAAGGGAGGCTGGAGGATCCTAAGTTAAAGGGCACCCTGGTCTGTGGTGTGAGACACTGTGTTTAAAAAGAAAGAAAGAAAAGGAAGGAAGGAAGGAAGGAAGTCAGGAAGGAAGGAAGGAAGGAAGGGAGCTGGGAAGCTGGCTCAGTGGTAGAGTGCTTGCCTTGTATGCATGAGGCCCTGGGTTTGATTCCTCAGCACAATATAAGTAAAAAAAGTTGGAAGTGGTGCTGTGGCTCAAGTAGTAGAACACTAGCCTTGAGCTGAAGTGCTAAGGGACAGTGCCCAGGCCCAGAGTCGGGCCCCATTACCGACAAAAAAAAAAAAGGAAGAAAAAAATAAAAAACAAAGCTGGTCTGGAAAAATATATGCAGTTTAGAATTTATTTTTTAATCTATAAAAAGCACAAACTGTAGGCACATTTTTCTTCTTTCATCATAGCTAAATCCTTCAAAAGCTAAAAGAATGAGTAATGCCCCCCAATTGTACTTCCAGACTGGGTAGATTGTGACCCCCCAGAGTAATCTCAAACACATGGAAAGATAGCAAAAACCAGCCTCTCAACTGGTGCTCTTCCCTGGCAGGTCCCTAACTTAAAGCTAGGTTAGGTAAAAATAATTTTATTCTTGTTTTAAATGTATACAGGGAAAACATTCATTTTATAGAGTCCTTTCCATATAGGGCTAGAACATTCTCTCAAATACCCAACTAGGGAAAGGAGAGAAAGGTTAGCAGTTACAGAAAATGGGTAGAATCTCACCGCCTTCCTGTTCTAGCTCTGTGATCTTGATGAAATTATATAACCTCTTTGAACTTGTGTTCCTTTGTCCCTAAAAAGTGAAGCTGATGATATCTACTTTGAAGGACTGCCTTGAAAAAAACAAAGGTGACACTTACAAAAGGCAAATTTTGCTGGAGGTCTGTAATCCTAGCCACTCCTGGTCAAAAATAGACGTGGAGCTGCAGCTGAACTGTGAAAAAGCTAAGACAGCACCCGGGCTCTGAGATCAAGCTCTACTATTAACACAGGAAAAAAAATATTGATGGGCTGTGAAGGTGGCTCAGTGGTAGAATGCTTGCCTCGCATGTGTGAGGCCCTAGGTTCGATTCCTCAGTACCACATAAGCAGAAAAAGCCAGAGGTGATGCTGTGGCTCAAGTGGTAGAGTGCTAGCCTTGAGCTGAAGAGCTGAGGTACAGCGCCCAGGCCCAGAGTTCAGGCTCCACAACCGACCAATAAAAAATATTGATGACAAATTTTTTATTTTTTTTTTTGTTGGTTTTGAGGCTTTTGAATTCAGAGCTTGGGTAGTGTCCCTGAGCTTTACTGCTTAAGGCTAGGGCTCTACCACTTTGAGCCACAGCACCACTTCTCGTTTTATGGTGGTTAATTGGAGATAAGAGTCTAATGGATTTTCCTGCCTAGGCTGGCTTTGAACTGTGACCCTCAGATCTCAGCCTCTTGAGTAGCTAGGATTACAGGCATGAGCCACCAACACCTGTTTTTGATGACCAACTTTGTGACAACACTCTCAACATTGGAGTAGTGATGAACAGAAATTAGATCTCTGCCTTCCTGTGGCTTAAGGCCCAGCTGAGAATACCAATGTTGGATAAGATGTGTAATGACGAAATGGAAAGTGAGTCTTGAAAGAGGAAAGAAAATGTGCCACAAGAAGGAAAGACAAAGCCCGGCACCAGTGGCTCATGCCTGTAATCCTAGCTACTCAGGATGCTAAGATCTGAGGATCATGTTGAAGTCAGACCAGCTAAGAAACTCCATGAGACTCTTTTTTTGGTCGGTGTTGGGACTGAAAACTCTGGGCCTGGGCGCTGTCCCTCAGCTCTTCAGCTCAAGGCTAGCGCTCTACCACTTGAGCCACAGGGCCCTTCCGGCTTTTTCTGCTTGTGGTGCCGAGGAATCCAACCCAGGGCCTCATGCATGCAAGGCAAGCACTCTACCACTGAGCCAACTTCCCAGCTCCATGAGACTCTTATCTCCAATAAACTACTCAAAAAAGCCAGAAGTGGCGCTGTAGTTCAAGTGGTAGAGAAAAGAAGCTCAGGGACAGCGCTCAGCGCTGAGTTCAAGCCCCAGGACTGGCCAAAAAAAAAAAAAAGGAAAGATAAACAGGGATGTCAAAGCCAGCCTGGGAGACAGCAAAGACTCTGTGAGATGTGGCTTTTACAAGAAGTTAGCCCAGGGGAAAGACAGGACAGAAAAGCACTGCTGCTGATTTATACAGATCAATTACAATAATAGAAATAAACTTCCTAAGATCATAGCTGGACACAGAGTTACAAAGAATGTCAAAGATGAAGCAAACAAGCAAGCAAGAAAAGAAACATCTTTCAATAAAAAAGGACACACAGTACACTTTCAAACTGTCAAACTGTTTTATAATAACAAGCCTGCCTGTGGAGGATAGTGGGGTGAGGCTTGTTCCCTCCCACAAGAGGCAGGAGGGAATGAAAGTTGGGAACGGGAGCTAACATTGTCTCCTAGCCTTGAGGTTTTCACAGGCAGCTACTTTAAGGGAGGCTAGGGTTATCCTGGGGAGGTAGTGGCCTTGAGCTGCTAGAAACAGTGTCTTTGTTAGAAATTTAGTCATTAATATCTAAGGGTGAGGCCCTAGGAGAAAGGCCCAGAGGAGACAAAACAGAAATCTGTCAGAACAGACTCTCTCATTTCATAATTTTTATGCTTATATTTTAAAAATCTAGATATTTTAATTAACATCAATTAGTTGTTTAAAAGGATATATTATGTTTAATTAATTTTTTTTTGTCATTCATGGGACTTGAATTCAGAGCCTAGGTGCTTTTCCTGAGCTTTTGTGCTCAAGACTAGTACTCTATCACTTTGAGCCACAGCAACACATGTGGTTTTCTGGGGGTTAACTGGAGATGAGAACCTCATGGCCAGGCTGGGAATATGGCTTAGTGGTAGAGTGCTTACTTAGCATACATAAAGCCCTGGGGTCAATTGCTCAGTACCACATAAACAGAAAAAACCTGCTGTGGCTCAAGTGGTAGAGCTCTAGCCTTGAGCTGAAGAACTGAGGGACAGTGCCCAGGCCCAGAGTTCAAGCCCCATGACCACTAACACCACCACCACCATCAACGATAATAATAAATAAATAAAAGAAGCTCAGAGACAGTGTCTAGGCCCTGAGTTAAAGCCCCAGGACTGGCAAAAAAAAAAAAAAGTGCAGGCCCATTTGGGTGCTGGTGGCTCATGCCTGTAATCCTAGCTACTCAGGAGGCTGAGATCTGAGGATTGAGGTTTGAAGCCAGTCCAGGCAAGAAAGGCCTTGAGACTCCTGTCTCCAATTAACCACCAGAAAACTAAAAGTGTATTGTAGCTTGAAGTGCTAGAGCACTAGCCTTGAGCAAAAGAGTTCAGGGACAGTGCCCAGGCCAAGTTCAAGCCCCACGACTGATCAAAAAGTAACAAAAGAGGCCAAGACACTAGTGACTTATGCTTATAATCCTTGCTACCCAAAAGGCTGAGATCTGAGGATCATAGTTGGAAGCCAGCCCAGGCAGACAAACCGGAGACACTCATCTCCAATTAACCACTAAAAAGCCAGAAGTGGAGCTATAGGTTCACAAATGAGCAGAAAAAAGTCAAAGGAGCATTCAAGGCACTGAGTTCAAGACTCAGTACTGACACACACACACAAAATTTTCAAAAATGAATTTCCTGGTTGCTGAACACGTGGATGTGGTGTTGGGAGGATGCAAGGTGGGAGCCTCTTCCCTATTTCCTACCTCACCCAAGACCCTCCCATCTGTGGTTTGTCTGTGTCATGTGCAGTAGCCTTCATAATAAACTCATAAACATATGGGGAATGTTTCCCTGTTGAAAATTGAGTCCAAGGAGTGGGCAGTGGAGATTGATTTACATACAGTCCGTGGAGAGCAGACTCAGAGACAATCTGCCACTTTTTAATTTTTTATTTATTTTTTTGTCATAGGGTTTGAACTCAGGGCCTGGGTGCTGTCCCTGAGCTCTTTCACTCAAGGCTAGCGCTCTACCACTTTGAGCCACTTCTGGTTTTCTGTTGGTTCACTGGAGGTAAGAGTCTCACAGTCTCTTCTGCCCAAGCTGGCTTTGAACCACAATCCTTAGATCTCAGCCTCTTGAGTAGCTAAGATTACAGGCGTGAGCCACCAGCCTCCAGCATTCTGCCAATTTTGATTGATACCTGAAGTGGGGACAGTCTTGTGGGACTATGCCCTTAACCTGCCTGGCCAAGAACAGAATTGAACAAGAAGATAAGCTGAGAACAGCAGTGAGTGGGAAGGAGTCTGCGCACATTCAGCCATGAGAGTGTTTTGTGTTACGTGAGATTGTAAGAGGAGAGAAACAGTTTTGTTTTTCCTTTTATGGTTGGCTAAGGGAGCGCGTATGTGAGGTTCATTATAGTTTTGTGGGTTTTTTTGTTTGTCATGGGGCTTGAACTCTGGGCTTGGGCTTGGGTGCTGTTCCTGCTCTCCTTAGCTCAAGGTTAGTGCTCTACTGCTTGAGCCACAGTGCCACTCCCGGTTTTCCAGCCTGGGCTGGCTTTGAACTGTGATCCTCAGATCTCAGCCTCCTGAGTAGCTAGGATTATAGGCGTGAGCTACCAGTGCCTGGATGAAGGTTTTTTTGTTTTTGGTTGGTTGTGGGGCTTGAACTCTGGGCTTGGGCACTATCCCTCAGCTCTTCAGCTCAAGGCTAGCGCTCTACCACTTGAGCCACAGCACCGCTTCTGGTTTTCTGAGTGGTTTATTAGAGATAAGAGTTTCATGGACTTTACTGCCTGGATTGGCTTTGAACTGTGATCATCATATCTCAGCCTTCTGAGTAGCTAGGATTACAGGCGCGTGCCCCTAGCCCCCCACTGGATGAAGTTTTGTGTGTGTGTGTGTATATGTGTGTGTATGTTTCTTTTTGTTGGTCATGGGGCTTGAACTCTGGGCCTGGGCCTTTAGCTCTTCAGCTCAAGGATAGTGCTCTACCATTTGAGCCACAACACCACTTCCAGCTTTTTCTGTTTATGTGGTGCTGAAGAATCAAACCCAAGGCCTCATGCATGTGAGGTAAGCACTCTACCACTGAGGCACTTTCCCAGCCCCCTGGCTGAAGTCTTTAATAATCCCAAAACAGAGGGAAAAATAGAGCTGGAGTATGGTTCCAGTAGCAGAGGTCCTAGGGAGTGTGATATTTTTTTGGGTGGGGGTGGTCCGGTCATGGGGCCTGAACTCTGGGCCTGGGCTCTGTCCCAAGCCACAGCGCAACTTCTGGCTTTTTTCTTTTTGCTTATGTGGGGCTAAGGAATCGAACCCAGGGCCTCAGGCATGCAAAGCAAGCACTCTACCACTGAGCCACCTTCCCAGCCCCGGGAGTGTGAGTTTCTGAGTTGGAACCTCAGCACTTCCAGAGAGAGAGAAAGAGAGAGAGGAGGAAGAGAAAGAGGATGAGGGAGTTATAAGAAAATGTGGGGGCTGGGAAGGTGGCTCAGTGGTAGAGCGCTTGCCTTGCATGCCTGAGGCCCTGGGTTCGATTCCCCAGCACCACATAAGAAAAAAGAAAAAAGCTGGAAGTGGTGCTGTGGCTCAAGTGGTAGAGCTCTAGCCTTGAGCTGAAGAGCTGAGGGACAGTGCCCAGGCCCA